AGGGAGGAGGGCGGGTGGGTGGAGGGGGAGAGAGTAACCAAAGAATTTATATGCATATATACACAACCCAGGGACATGGACAATGGTGGGGAGAGGGACTGGGGAGGGGGAAGGAATGGGGTGGAACGGGTCATTGGGGAGAAAAAGGGACATCTGTAATATTTTAAACAATAATAAAATTTTTTTAAAAAAAGATTTGGAGGTAAAAATCTCAAAAAAAATAAAAATAAATTTAAATTTAAAAAATAAAAAATGAATTAAAAATGAGATCTATTTCGCATTACCATAAATTCACCTTTTTAAGGTATATATACATTTCAGTGGTTTCTAGTATAGTCACAAGAGTATGCAACCATCACCACTATTTAGTTCCAGAACATAGTCATCATCCCCAAAATAAACTGCACCCATTAGCAGTCACTCCCCATTCTGCCTTACCCCCAGCCTTTGGCAACCACAAAAAAAAAGAAAAAAAAGATTAAGGGGGATAGAGTACATGGAGTGATTAATATCTAGACATAGAGATACCCCAATAAGTGCAAGCTGCTGTTACTTTATGTCCTTTGGTGAGCTCCCAATTGCATTAATTGTGTAAAAACTGCAATAAATGAAAGGAGTAATGGTATTATTCCTTTTTTATATAGATCAGGTCTAGCAAAGACCATATGAAACTACAGGCATGTTTACTGAATGGGGCTTTCACAGTTATGAAACTCAGAATTTCCAGTCTGTGTAACAGCCACAGGCCCAATGTTTGTTGGTGAGCAGTGTATTCCATAGGGCAGGCTCAGGCAGTACCTGGGTGGGGCCTGGGAGCCACAGGACCCAGAGCCAGAGTGGGCAGAGCCCGAAGGGGAGGGGCTGGGCAGGAGTGGCCCTGGGGGTGGGGGATCTGGGGCCTGCTTGTACCCCATACCCTACTCAGTTAAGTGTGGCCAGGGCCAGGCATTTGGAGTCTCAGAGTGGAGGGAGTGCTGACCAGGGTATCTTCATCTCCCTGGGGACTAGAGGCTGTGAGGTGACTAGGATGGCCTGGTGGAAAGCCTGGGTAAGTGCAGAGCAAGCAGAATCAGTTCCTGCATGATGCGGGGAGGGAGGGGAGAGTGTTTAGCTCAACCAACACTCACTGCTGCCTCCCAGGCCAAGCACTGGGCTGTCCACTGGCAGGAAGACAAGAAGAAACTGCCTCCCCCTAGACGCACTCATACCAGGGACAGAAACAGGTGAGACAGGCAGATAATGGAACTTTGAAATGCACCAGGAGATGCTGAGGTGCTGGGGGAACTCAGAGGAAGAACCCCTTGGGGAGAAGTCAAAACTAAGGGGTATCATGGTTGAGCCATATGTCCATGTGTGTCGGGAGGGAAATCAAACAGATGGCTCCTTGCAAAGGGAACAGTATGTGCAAGGCCCAGAAGGGTGGGAAACTTGGTTTTGGAGAGAAACAGGTCAACCTGGCTTGAGTGCCCTAGTGGGAGTGCAGAGGGTAAGGGCGGGATGTACCTGGAGAAGTAGGCAGGGCTGGGTCGTAAAGTCTTCATCTGGCAAGCTAAGGAGCTCCGATTTTACCTTAAAAGCAATGGGGAGCACTGACAAGCCTTCGACTGGAGAGAGACCTGATTGAATAGGTTGATTTTGGAGGGCTCATCAATGCCCACTCCTCAGGGTCAAGGAAGGTGGGCTGGCCTCCAAGGAGCAGTGGTGTTTATTTGTCAAGAGGGAGGGAGGAGGGGGAGTAGGAGGACCTGGCCCACGGGGTCTTGCGTGGCTGAAATCCATGCTTTATAAGAGTGACCGAGAGCAAAGGTAGGAAGCACAGCACAGCCTCTCCCCGAGTCACCCATGTCCCAGCTGAATTATAGATTCCCAGGAATGTTTCGTCTGGGTTTGAGTCCAAGTCCATCTTGTGCTAAGGAGTTGAAAACGCAAAAGGGAGGTGAAGACAACGAGCGGGTGACGTCCCTGGGCAGTCGTGGTGCTGCAAGCTCAGCATACCTTTTTTTCATTTTGTCCTGGGGCAGCCTGGGATGTCAGAGCTGCTCTTTCCATTGTACAGATGAGAAAACTGAGACTCAGAGACACTAACTTGCTCAGTCCCACAGCTGGCAGGTGGGGAGCTAGTTCAGACTCAAGCTCAAGTCTCTATCCCCATTCCCAGGCTCGCTGTGAGCCTTACTGGGTAGCCCAGGCTTATCCTGCTTCTGGAAATCTCTTTTGTCCCAAGTGTCACAACCCTGTGGCTCTGGGTTCAGATATACTGGGCCTGGACACGTGGGACAGAGAAGACAACAAGGTCAAGGTGGGACAGCTGTCTGGCCCCAAGCAAAGCAGCCAGGACGGGTCAAGGGGCCAGTTTTGTCTTGGGTGGTGGGAACAAGACTTTGAGGAGGCAGATATGTCTGAGAGAGCCCAGTACAGCTGCTGGCCAAGGTGGCCTGACTCTGGGCCTTGCTCCCAGTGGGGCAGGGTTGAAGGTTTGTCCTTAGGGCCCCAGCCAGCCAGCCAGGCAGCCTCCTTTTAAGGACCTGGCCAACCTGGCAGGAGAATTTACTGAGCAACTACTGTGTACCAGACATTGCTTTAAAGCACTTCACATTCAGTATCTCACTGGAGCCTCATGCCACTCTACAGTGTAGATGTCAGTTACCTTATCCACAGAGGAGTAAACTGAGGCACCAGGAGGCTAAGCACCTGCTTAGCCTTACTAGTAAGTGAGGTTGCCACACTAGTAAGGGTTGGAATCTGGGTTAGAATCTGAGCAGCCTCACTTCAGAGCCCAAACTCTATGGGCCTTGGCTGCCCACAAGCCATTTGGGAGAGCTGGTTTGCAGCAGCAAGACCCCACTGGTGACTGGCTAAGCTGCCAGTGAGGACCAACTGTCCTCTGGGCACCAAGCTAGACCAGAACCAGAGGGAGATGAAGGTCAGCTTCAGGGGGGGTTGTATCCGATCAGCTTCGAAGGGGGTGTATCTGGGCCTCTCTTATAGAGACAAAGTTCTGTCTCCCAGGTCTCTGGGGCAGCCCCATGATGAGAGAAGGCAAAGGTGTGGCAGCTCCCTTGTGATCACCAAAAAATGTGTTATAGCTGTAGAGTCACAAGTTGGGCTCAGTCACATTTTCAGAGAAAATGTTCCTGTCTGGACCTGCCTACTCAAGGCAGGACCCAGCAGGAGCCTAGGCAGACCCTTCTTCCAACAGTGGAGGCACTCAAGTAGAAAGATCTGGAGCTCTACTGCTCCATTCTGGTATCCAAAGGTCTGATTCCCAGAAGACTTTCTTCTTCTAAAACCATGAAGTGGGAAGTGAGGCTGATGTTTCTCAAAGCAGTGAAATCAGAACCCCCTAGAAAGCTGTTTACGTACACTGCCTCAGACCTTCTGAACTGGCTACTGGGCACGAGGCCTGGTCAGTCGCTGCTGCACAGCCAGCCCCCTGAGTCCCAGCTTGGGGGAAGAAGAAAGCCCCTCCTGGGTGGCCCCCAGAGCTCATCACTGAGAACTGAGATGCCCTCCAAGCTCCCAGATGACCTGCATTCCTGTGGGGGAGGCTTCCTTCAGTGAAGAGTCTCAGGAAAATTCCTTGTCTAGAAAAAGTTGAGTCATCAGTAGAGTGGGGGAGGTAAACAGAGCTCAGCCGCTGAGTCAGGCTGTGGGTTATGTCCCTGGCACCACCACTAACTGGCAGTGTAACTTTGACAAGCTCTCTGAGCCCAGCTCCCTTGCCTATAAAGTGGGGCATTCATATTTACCTAGTGCAACTGTCAAGAGAAGTCAAGAAGAGCACAGCATCTACAGCAACTAAAACATCTAACCCACAGAGCCTGGCACATGGGAGGTGCTCAAATCACTAACAGTAGTAACAGCAGCTAATGATTCCACAAACAAGGGACACACAGTTGGGCAACATCTGGGACTGCATAGGCTCTTTAGATGGAATTTCCAAAAGAAGTCATTTCTAACAATTTCTGCTGTAAAATATGAAGCTAAGAAATGAGATAAGAAAATCTCTCACCAGACATTTGAAATTCAAAAAAAGACATGGTAAGTCTTCTTATCTCTTACTCAAAAGAAATATGCTTATAGGTAGACTATGGATGGGAATCTGTACTATATTTTCAGGATGTAACCCAGGGCTTGGACGGAAGGGTGGATAACTAGATAGACATTAAGGAGGAAGGGTGTATGAATGCATGGATGGGAG